GTAAAAAATACTATTATTTATTAGAGAATGAGAGCAAGAGAGATCACAGAGGGAAAGGGAGAAGCAGACTTGCCATTGAGCAGGGATCCTGATGTGGGGCTCAGTCCCAGGATCTGGAAATCATGACCTGAGCTGAAGGTAGACGCTCAACTGACTGAGCCACCCAGGCGCCCCTAAATACATCATTCTTCAACATTCAGTTTCTGAACGCCCCATATGAGCTAAGCACTATGTAAAAATGAGGGGTTTAGCGAAAGCTCTTCCCTTTTATGTTAATGGCAGATTGGCTGATGGGTATAGAAAGCTTAAAAAGCGTAAGAGCCTACTTGGTACTAATTTATTTTAATTATGCCTCAAACTGTCTAAAGTAACACTTGGGGATATAGGAGGTTAATGGATTTTAGCTCTTCACAAGGGGCACTCTTGCTGAAATCACATTCATTCTAATTAGGATTTTACATAAATTCTTCCCCCAGATTCCATCAGTTTGCTCTAATTCTATGATTATACACTTTCCATTTTTATTTATCATTACAAGGATTATTACCCATTTTAAAATGTCATTCAGCTTTCTGAGGGTGTTACAATTCAAGTCTTTTTGGTCTTAAGAATTGAGAAATTTGATTTTTTTGGCAGAGGACAGGTCCTTTACCTGTATTTATTACCCTGGAGGTACCTGATCTTTGGGCAGTTGAAGAAAAGTACTTTTTCTTTTTTGCTGTTTGCTTTTAAATGAGTTGAAGTATGAAAAGAAAGGCAGTTGTGTGAGAATCAAGGCTTGGCATCTGGTCCAGGTATTTTTTCCTACAGAGCTTCTTCCTTACTCTTAATGACCCTGGCTTACCAGAATGGCTAGCAGGGACTAAATTATTGTCGCCTCTGAGAGGAGCTTGAGTTCCCTTTACCACCCATTCCTTTACTACCTCATACATCCCCAAGGAGGTATTTGCCCAGTAGCCTCAGGGCCAGGATGATATAAGTAAACATGATAGGAAGTATAGCAATCACGGTGACTGTCAAAGGGCTGTTAGTTATTGTACTGTCTTTTTTTTTTGTTAGAGATTTTTTTTTTTAAGATTTGATTTTATTGTCAGAGAGAGAGAGTGAGTGAGCAGAAGCAGGGGGAGTGGCAGGCAGAGGGAGAAGCAGCTGCTGAGCAAGGAGCCCGATGCGGGACTCGATCCCAGAACCCCTGGAATCGTGACCTGAGCCGAAGGCAGACGCTTAAGCAACTGAGCCACCCAGGCACCCCTATTGTCCTGTCTTTTATCAGCCTGTTCAGAATACTTAATGGAGAAGCAGTACGATGACCCTGGGTTTCCTCTGGGTGAAGAGTATCTCCAGCCTTCATCTCTTCTTGCCAAATCCTTAGAAGACTAGACTGGTACCAAGATGTGGTCAGGGGAGAGCAGGCCTGGAGTGGCTGGTAGGTGCTGACCACCATAGGCCTTCAGGAGAATCACTGGCTTTTCTTCTCTTGAATGTGTGCTTTGGATCTTATTGGCCAAGATTAGTCAATGGTCATAAAAGCAGAATTTGTGGTTAGTGTATAGTCTAGTCCATGGTTGGGGGATACAAGTTTAGGACCAAACCCTAGTTGTCAAAGAATGATTTTTGCCTGGGGACGCCTGGGTGGCTCAGATCGTTAAGCATCTGCCTTTGGCTCAGGTCATGATCCCAGGGTCCTAGGGTCGAGCCCCACATCGGGTTCTGTGCTGAGCAGGGAGCCTGCTTCTCCCTCTCCCTCTGCCTGCCTGTCTGCCTACTTGTGATCTCTCTCTCTCTCTCTGTTAAATAAATAAAGAAAATCTAAAAAAAAAAAAAGAGAGATTTTTGCCTGGAACATTTGCCTTCAAATGTCTCCCTTGAAACCATGGTGGGGCAAGCCAGTGATTGATGTTTTGGATCTGGATCAGATATCTTTCCATGTCATCACATCTAAGAAATGAAATCTCTCTTTAGTTGTTTTTTGTTGTGGTTGTTGTTTTTAGTTTTTTTTTGTTTTAACTTTGATTTCCTTGAAGTAACAACTTACAGATATGTGGGGAATTGGTCGTTTAAATAATCTTAAAAATTTTATATCCTATGTATTTTTTTCTGCTTTTGGGGAACGGGATATACATTGATCTATTTTAAGCTTTGATTTCATTTAAGAAAATCGAGTTTTGTGTGAGATTAAAGTAAATTAACGTGTTTTGATAATTTTCAATCAGTCCCGTAGTCCTTGATCACCAGCCTGGTAGCACACTTCATTTTACATACAACACACAAAAGAAGAGGATGCAGTCCTCTAAGAAATTTGAATCCAATTATGAGGTAAGACTGACATACCTGAAATGACTAGAGAACCCAGCAGCTACAGTATGTATGTAATCAGGTACCAGCTTAGGATTTAAACTGTTAAGGTTACAAGAATTCTAAGAAGAGAAGAATGGTGTTTTGGCTTGTTATTCTCACCTCTCCCTCTGGTGTGTGCAACATGTTTTGAATTTTCGTTTTACTAGGTACTGGGGCATCCTGCATCTATCCTTTACTTGGAACAACCTTAAATGGCTGGTATTTCCTTGCAACAGAAGTAGATGACATGTGCTTCAACTATGCGAAGAAAAATGTGGAACAGAATAATTTATCTGATCTTATAAAAGGTTAGCTCTCCAGAATAAATATCCCTTTCAAGCACTGTTTATTAACCTGTTTTTATAATTTAACACATCTCATTTTTTGCTTTAATATACAGACTTTGGTAATTTTAAAAAATATGGTATATTGTGGAAGGAAAAATAAAATAAGATAAAACAGAGAGGGAGGCAAACCATAAGAGACTCTTAACGATAGAGAACAAACTGAGGGTTGCTGTAGGGGAGGTGGGTGAGGGATGGGCTAAATGGGTGATGGGGATTAAGGATGAGCACTGGGTGTTACATATAAGTGATTAATCACTAAATTCTACTGAAACTAATACTACACTATATGTTAACTAACTTGAATTTAAATAAAATCTTGGAAGAAGAAAATAAATGAAACAAGTAGAACAGAAAAAAAATAAGGTACATTGTAATGGGGTTTTCAGCTTTGTTATCAGAGTTAACTCAGAAGGAAATATGGTAAATATAGTTGATCCTCATAATTTGTGGATTCTGTATTTGTGAATTTCCCTGCTTGGGGTTATGTTTAACCCCAAAATCAATAGTTGAGGTACTTTTTAGGGTCATTTACGGACATGTGCAGAGTGGCAAAAAATTTGAGTCATCCAACACGCATGTTCCCAGCTGAAATTGAACAAGGTGATGCTCTGCCTTTTTGTTTCACCTCTCTGCTATAAACAAGTGTCCTTTTCATAGTCTATTAAATGTCACTTTTTTTTTTTTTCATTTTTGTACTTTTTCTTGGTGATTTTGCTGTTTAAAATGGCCCCTAAACATACTGCTTAAGTGGTATCTAGTAGGTGTTCCTTCAACATAAGAAGAATGTGACAAACCTTACAGGGAAAATACATGGGTTAGATAAGCTTCATTCAGACATGAGTTCTAGTGCTGTGCGCCGTCATTTCAGTATTAATCAGCAGTGTATGTCAAATAAGGTGTCTTTTAAAAATAAATAAAGTGTCTTTAAACAGAAACACACATAAAATAAAATTATATATTGATCAGTTGTTGAGAATGTTTGACCAGAGGCTCATAGTTACCTAACCTTACATTTCTCTTAGGAGCCATTGGTTCCAATTCAATGTTCATGGTGACTTTATAAAACATAACTACCACGAATAATGGAAATCAACTGTACATGAAGTAACCTAGTCACCAAGATTTTATTTTTTATCATTTTAGAGAGAGAGAGAGAGCACAAGCGGAGGGAGGGGCAGAGGGAGAGAGAGAAAAGCAGACTCCCTGCCAAGCAGGGAGCCCTATGTGGGGCTCGATCTTCCTACCCTGGGATCATGACCTGAGCTGAAACCAAGAGTTGGATGCTTAACCGACTGAGCTACCCAGGTGCCCTGTCACCAGGATTTTAAAAGGGAAACGCTGCTGTTGATTAAAGTATACCATCTTTTTTATTTCAGTACATGGAACTGTGCCACAGATAGTCAAGTCCCCTTAGTGACCAGTTACTTTTAATTTTGTGCTTACTGTATATTTGAAGAGCTGTTCATATTTTCTTTTTTTCATTAAAGAGAATTTATGTCTCTTTATGGAAGAACAAGGCTTTTCTTACTAGTGTTAAGCATATCATTATAAGGGGAGATACTAACATTGTTAATGTGTTTTTCAATTGTCCATTTCTGTGTTACAAATTACTCCAAAATCTAGCAACTTTAAACAAATATTTATCTCATAGATTGTGTGGGCCGGAAATTTGGGCATGACCTACTTGGGTGGTTCTGGTTTAATCTGATGAGTTTGCAGTCATCTGAAGGATTGACTGGGGATAAGAGATTTGCTCCCAAGATGGTTCATATAATTTGGCCATTGGTAGTAGGCTAGATTCATTCACATGGATCTCTCCTCTAGGCTACTTGAGCAACCTTACAGTGTGTCAGCCTGGCTTCTCTTAGTGCCAGTAATTCAAGAAATAGGGCAAGGAGGAAGCCATTTTTCTTTTATGACCTAGCCTCAGAAGTGACATCCTTTCACTTCATATTCATTCTGTTCAATAAAAGTGAGTCACTGAGTACAGCCTATACTCAAGGAGAGGGAAATTAAACTCCACCCATTGAAGAAACTAGTGTCATAGAATCTGTGGTTATTTGAAAACTACCACAGCATTAATAGTAGTTAACAGTTCCTGTTTTTTCTCCTAGTGGTAAAAGTACCACAGAAGACACTCCTGATGGATGCTCTTAAAGAAGAATCTGAGATAATCTATGATTTTTGCATGTGCAACCCTCCCTTTTTTGCCAATCAGTTGGAAGCCAAGGTAAAGTACCTTCTGATTTAAGACAAATGACTAGGGGCACCTGGGTGGCTCATTCGGTTAAGCGTCGTTGTTTTCGGCTCAGGTCATGATCCCAGGGTCCTGGAATCGAGCCCCGTGTTGGGTTTCCTGCTCAGCGAGGAGCCTGCTTCTCCTTCTCCCTCTGCTGCTCCCCCTGCTTGTGCTCGCTCTCTCAGATCAATCAATAAATAAAATCTTTAAAAAAAAAGATAATAGACTATTTAAGTTGTTGATGTTTGCAAAGATAAGAGCAGACAACAGCTTTTAATTTGGAAGCTATATCAGGATGTTTCTGGTATCAAGCACCTGAGGACTCAATTCATATTGACTTAATAAAGGAAGTGTATTGGCTTACATATCTGAGAAATCCAGCAGCAGTATATTTTATGTATATATGAAGATATATACATAAAAGTACCCATGCTGTAAGTGTAAATTGGCTTTTCCAAAGTGAACACTCCTGTGGAACCAGCATCCAGATGAAGAAATAGAATGTTACTAGCATCAGAACTAAATTTATTTTTATATCCATTTTATTGAGATGTAATTCACATGCCATACAATTTACCCACTTAAAGGGTAGAATTTAATTATTCTTAGTATGTTCACAGAGTTGTACAGCTATCATCACAGTCCATTTTAGAACATTTTCATCACTCCCCTACCCCCCCATCCCCATTAGCAGTTACTCTGTTTCCCACAGCTCCTATAGTCCTAGGTAACCACCAGTCTACTTTCTGTCTTTATGGATTTGCCTGTTTTGGACATTTCATGTAAGTGGAATCATAAAATATGTAGTTTTTTGTTACTGACTTTCACTAAACATAGTACATTTTCAAGGTTCATCCATATTGTAGCATGTATCAGTACTTAATTTCTTTTTATTGCCAAATAATATTCCATTGTATGGAAATACCACATTTTATTTATCCATTCATTCATTGATGGACATTTGGGTTGTCTTTACTTTTTGGCTATTACGAATAATGCTAATGTGAGCATTCATGTACACGTTTGTGTAGACATTTCTCCTTGGTATATACCTAGGAGTGGAATTGCTGAGTCAAAAGGTAACTCTGTTTAGTTGTTTGAGGAACTGCCAGACTGTTTTCCAAAGTGGCTGCATCATTTTTCATTCCACCAGCAGCAGTGTATGAGGGTTCCACTTTCCAGTTTCTCCACATGCTTGTCAACACTTATTATATGTTGTCTTGATCATAGCCATCCTAGTGGGTATGAAGTGGTATCTCATCTGGGTTTTGATGTTTATTTCCTTGATGGCTAATTATGTTGAACACCTTTTCATGTGCTTATTGGCAATTTGTATATCTTCTTTTGAGAAATGACTGTTCAGATCCTTTACCCATTTAAAACTTGGATTATTTTTCTTTTTATTATTGTTGTAAGAATTCTTTATGTATTCTAGACATAAGTCCCTTATTAGATTTATTTATTTATTTTTTTTCCCTTATTAGATTTATTATTTGCAAACATTTTCTCCTGTGGGTTGTCTTTTCACTTTTTTTAAGATTTTATTTATTTGAGAGAGAGAGAGCGTGAGAGCAAGAGCACAAGCGCGGAGTCGGAGGGGGGGCAGGTCAGAAGGAGAGGGAGAAGAGGGAGAAGAAGGCTCCTGGCTGAGTAGGGAGCCTGACTCAGGGCTAAATCCCAGGACCCTGGGATCATGACCCAGGCCGAAGGCAGACGCTTAACCCACTGAGCCACCTAGGCACCTCATATTTTCACTTTCTTGGTGTCCTTTGCAGCCTATAAGTTAAATTTTAAGGAGTACAATTTCTGTAAGAGACCATTGCCTAATCGAAGGTCATGAAGATTTACTTCTATGTTTTCTTTGGAAATTTTATGATTTTAGCTTTTATATTTAGATCTTTGCTTTATTTGAGTTAATTTTTTAATATGATTTGAGGTAGGAGGGGATTAAATATTTAAATTTAAAAAGTGAGATCATAAGAGTACTAGAAGAAAACATAAGTAAATATTTATATAATCTTTGGGTGCAGTATTTTCTGTGCATGATACCAAGACAAAAATATAAAGAAAAGTGACAGATTAGGCTACATAAAAAAGGTAAAGTTTTTATATGTTAAATCACAAAGATGGAAGGTAAAAAAGACCCTGGGGGGG